TCTCTCCCAAACATCTCCATCCTTACCACTCTCCCAATTTTCAGCCACCTTCACTTCAAATGCCTTCCTCACCTCTGCATCCTGCAACTTCCATGTCTTTCTCTTTGCCACAAACTTATCCTTCTTCCTCCTCCCCATTTCTTTTGATGTCACATCCATCACAACCATACTATGCTGCAACATACCAGGTATCGTCTTCACATTCTTCACATACTTCCTATGTTTGGCCCTTACCAATATATAGTCTATCATCGATCTATGTTCCACTGACCTATAAGTAATCAATCGCGCTGGTTCCCTTGTGAACCAAGTGTTCCCTACCACCATGCTATGTGCATCCGCTAACTCCAACACTCTACGCCCTTCCTCATTCCGTATACCATATCCCCATCCCCCATGTACACCTTCATATCCGTCTGCATCCGCCCCCACATGACCATTCAAATCACCCAACAACACCACAAACTCATTCAACCCCGCTTGCCCAATCTCGTCAGAAACATCATCATAAAACCTATCCTTCTCCTCTTCCTTCCTACTTTGTTGCGGAGCATATCCTGATATCACCCTCACCTTATAAATAGCCTTATAAATATGTTTTTGCCAAATCACTTTCCTTTTTTCGTTTTTATATTTTCTGAGTATCAGTTGGTTTATCGATTGATAAAGTTTTACTGGTAGATATTCAAATCAAATATTGTTGAAAAGGTTTGATAAAATGTTTAAAATGCCAATTTTATTTGATAGCTAATTAATCTTCTTACAATTTTCAAGGAATTAATGATACTTGATGTTTTTAGCCTGTTTGTTATTTATAGACACTATTTTACCTGTAAAAGTGTAAATTCATTATGCTATCTTTTATTTCAGAATTATTTTTGTCCTGATATGAATATCAAATTCTTAAACTTAATCCTTCTAAATTTGAATTAATTTGTTTTAATAGTTTTGCTAGAAGTTCTTACTTTCATCTACATAGAATAAAAAAACTTTTTTTTCTCTTGATGATCCTGCTCTTCTTCTTGTTGTCACTTCTTTAGTTTTATCTAGGATTAATTATTGTAACTCGCTCTACCATGGCCTTCCTGATTCTACTCTATCCTTTAAGTAAAGCTGTTGACTCTGCTGCTCTTCTAGTTGCTCGTGCCAATTTCTTTTCTTATATATTTCCATATCTTGTTTTCTTGCACT